GTTCCTCCAGCTCCACACTGTGTTCCTCCAGCTCCCCACTGTGTTCCTCCAGCTCCACGCTGTGTTATCTCCGACTCCAGCATCTGCAGCACTTGCTTTGTCAGAGGAAACAAAGGGTGTTTTATTTGTTGTTGTTGTTGCTGCAGTGACCCCTCTCAGTCTCTAGATGGCGAGAGCTTGCGGCACTGAGGGCAATGCCCGCTTGGCATCCGGCTCTGGCCACATCTACTGGCGGGAGTGCGGAACTGCATTCGAGCCGTGGCACCTGCTTCCCAATCCAGTTCTGTGTCCGGATGTCCCCCCTTCCAATCCCCGGATGGGTTGGGAGCGGGGCTGGACTAGTTTCTGGAAGTTTCCTTGACATGACGCCGCCCCCACCCCTCGCGCACTTTCCCAGCTTCCAACTGGCCGACGCGACTTGACCTTCCAATTGGGAGCGAGCTCCACATTCCCGACTCTGCCTGCGGAGCGAGGTGCCTCCCCACCGGATTGATGAAGGAACAGCCGCCTGATCCAGTTGATCCTGTGGTTCCGGGATCCACTGGGAGCCAGTGCCCCACCTGGAAGACTGTTGGAGCCGCACCTTTCCATTCCGAGGATTCAGGGGGACATCAGGAAGCAACTGTGGGAGAGCTTAACTGCAATGACCACCCTCCCCTCTCCAACCCTCACGCACACCCCACCACCAACCCCTTCCCCGCCACCCCCAAACAGCCCCTGGCCCCACATGGAGAAAGCTGTTCGGCCAGGGGTCTGTTTGAAATTATGAATACTGAGTTTTCAACATGTTTGCAAGGTGAGGGTAACAAAGAGATTATTATCAAGATGAAAAGATTGAATTTCAGGGGACCAATGAGCCACCAAGCTGTATGGCCTCCTCCTGTTCCCTGTATAACAGGCTGGAGAAGGGGCTGAATGGCCTCCTGCTGTTCCCCTGTGTAACAGGCTGGAGCAGGGGCTGAATAGCCACCTGTTCCCTGTGTAACAGGCTGGAGAAGGGGCTGAATGGCCTCCTCCTGTTCCTGGAACCTTGCAAGCAGGTTGAATTGTTTCATGTTTGGAGTTGGACTCCACCAGTTGTGTTTCAGCCAATTGCTGAGATTAATTCCTATTCTGCTGCTAAATCCCAGACTTCAACAGGAAACACAGCACTGCCTGGGGTGGAAACTTTCAGGAGGAGCTCTCAGTACATCGCGGGTTGGGGGGTGGGGGGCGGTGGAGAGAAGTGAAGCCAATGATGGGGGACAGTGTACAGGGAGCTTTACTCTGTATCTGTCCCCATGCTGTCCCTGTCCTGGGAGTGTTTGATGGGGGGATATTGTAGAGAGAGCTTTACTCTGTATCTAACCCCGTGCTGTCCCTGTCC